GGATTCAAGGAGGAGATTCCCGAGGCCGTGGGGTGGATTCCCAGCTCCATCCCCTTTCCCTCTCACCCGCAGGAAGGTCCTGGAGGGTTCCCGACATTTCTCCTCCAGCTCCCGGATCCGGGTTTCCAGGCGGGAGATCTCCTGGGTCAGGTTCGTCAGGTTTTCCTCCTGCTCCTTTTCCAGCTCCTTTTCCAGGTCCCGGAGCCGGGCCAGGAGCCCCCGGGCGTGATCCTCCAGGGACACCCGGAGCCCTTGGAAGTGGGAGAGGATCCTCTGCCGCTCACATTCCGTCTTTTCCTGCGGGAACGGGATTTGGCCCTCGGGGAGGGAACCCCAAGCCCAGGGATGACCCCCCCCCCCCCAAATCCAACATGAGAAACCCACCCCCCATATTCCCGAAAGCGGCGAGATCCCGAAATTCCCGAGGAATCGAATCCCAACCCTCCCTCCGCGGGGAAGATTTACCAAACACTCCCAGTTCCTCCTCATTTCGGCCTCCCGGAATTCCAGGAGTTTGTCCCTGGCTTCCCTCAGGGTTTGCAGCCGGGCCTGGAGTTGTGCCTGAGGGGGGAGGGAAAAGAAGGAAAGGCCTCGTTTCTCTGGAGATTTGGGACAGCTCCCAAAAAAAACCCACCCTGGGAAGGGGGTTCCACTCCAGGGCCAGGAAAAAAATTCCCTTTTTTGTGGTTGCCCAGATTCCCACTGGTTTAGGGGTGAAGCACCGGAGGCTGAAAGAGGTTGGAGACCTAAATCCCTCCAGGAACAGGGAGAGGAGGGTCTGGGAATTCTGGGAGCGGGGATGGATCCTGGTTTTCAGCCCAGGAGGTGGGAGCGGGTCGAGCCTGGAGCTGAGGGGAGGCGGCTGCGAATTCCCAGGAATTTGGGGGTTCCCCTCCCGCCCCCCTTCTCAGCTCCCCCCTCCTCGGGACCCGTTTTGTGTCGAGGGAGAAGGGACAGAATGGAAAAATCCGGGCTGGGAAAGCCCCAGGGATGGATCAGGAGTCCAACAGGGGTGGATCAGGAATCCAACAGGGGTGGATCAGGAGTCCAAACAGGGATCAGGAATCCAACCACAGATGGACCAGGAATCCAACCAGGGATGGATCAGGAATCCAAACATGAATCAGGAGTCCAGCCATGGATCAGGAGTCCAACCATGGATCAGGATTCCAGCCAGGGATGGATCAGGAATCCAAACATGGACCAGGAGTCCCACCACGGCCAAACCCCCCCGTGCCGACCCCACAAAGGGGGGGAACCACCCCCCTCCACCCCCAAATGCTCCAGAGGGGCAGCTCTGGGGGGTCTTTTCCACCCCGGACCAGGGCAGGGGGTCCCCCAGGAACCCCCCTGTCCCCCCCCCCTTACCTCGTACTCTCCCCTCGCCTCCCCCAGGGTCACCAGGGTGTGGGCACGGTGGGCTCGGGACTCTCGGCAGACCCCGCACAGCAGCGCTCGGTCCTCCTTGCAGAACACCCTGAGCGGCTCCCGGTGCTTCCCACAACCTTCCTCCACCTCCTCCTCCTCTCCCTCCCCCGGGAGCTCCCCCAGGCCGAGCCTGCGGGCGATGTCGAGGACCTTGGCGAGCTCCCGGCTGGGGCGGAGGCTCCGCTCCGGCGCCGTCTCCCGGCAGCGGGGGCAGGGGAAGGTGTCTGTGGCCCATTCCCAGCAGCGCTCGATGCAGCCCCGGCAGAAGTTGTGGCCGCAGTGGATGGACACGGGGTCGCGGAACAGCTCCAGGCACACGGGGCAGGAGGCCTCGGGGGGCAGCGCGGCCATGGGGGACCCCCGGGCTGGGGGAGCCGCTTTCGTTCGGATGCCCCACGGGGAGAGGGGAGGAGTCCCTTGGGTGTCACCTCCCTGCTGTCACCCCTCCCTGTCACCCCCCCCTAATGTCACCCTTTCCTGCCACCCCCTCTGGTCACACCTCCCTGTCACCACATCCCTACCAACCCCCTTCTGTCACCCCCTCCTGTCACCCCTCCCTGTCACCCCCCTCCTGTTATCAATTCCTGTCACCCCTCCTGTCACCAATTCCTGTCACCCCTCTCTGTCACCCTCTCCTG